GTATCCAAGGTACGGGTAGTGTTCCCCTGTACCGTTATCTTATGGACGGACTGTGTCCAAGGTTATGGTCCAAGCTTATGGCCCAGGTTACGGACATTATCCAAGGTCCTAGTAGTGTTCCAAGGTACGGGTAGTGTCCCCATATTGCCACAGTATGGATACAGCGTAAGCCCCATGCTGCTTCGCTTCCATTTCTCAGTCAAAATCAGTAGTTACGGCTGTATTGATTCATGGTGTCCTCATTCTGGCCCCTTTTGTTGTTTTGGCCAACAGGATCGCCGACAGACAGTACAGAGATATGAGCCTACCTCACGCTGCTACTCTTCGAAACAGGATTGCCTCCAGAACAGCTAAGTGTAGATTTAGGTTTTGGTTTTCAGTCGATTTTCAGTCTTAACTATATAACGTACATTTTAAATAATATCGTACAGACTATATTTAGTGGTTATATTATTAAGAACATTTATGTCGATTTAGTAGTTACAATATGATTTAGATTTTAGGTTTCATTACATTACGCCTTGTAATAGTATTACTTTTTTATAGATATTATTATTTCACTAACATCATATAAAATATATCAAATTAATTAAAGTAATGCTACATTTCATATATTCTCTTAAACTTTACATGTCTTGTATTTTATCATAGTTGTTTTCATAGATATTTAGTACAATTTTTAACTCCACTTTCGTTGACATATAACCACTATAATAATTATTAAAATTGTACAATGCTATTTACCATCACAGTCCATCATGAATAAATATAGTCATTAGTTTTAAGTAATATACAACTGTGTTTTCTTTTCTGTACATGCCTGGCGCCCAGTATTTATATTTTTTTGTTTATTGTTATTAATTAGTTTTCTTTCTAGTGAAATACCTTATACACGACTGCTCTCCGATGAAAAGCTGCCGTTCGCAGTGGTAATGTTTATAAAAAAACGCTACAATATATCGATAATTGTAATTTTGCTTTCTTTTTTCCGGATACTTTCTAGACGGACTATATTTTCACACTAAAGTCACCGCATCATATTATTAGCGATTTGACTTTGAACAAAAATGACTTTGTTAAAGCAAAAACTATGCGTGGGACGAAAAAAAATCGAGAGATAAATATTATTTATTATTATTATTATTAGCAAGAGAAAAAAGGTTAGTGGCGCCCATTTTTTTTAGAAATATATTCCAGTGATAAACCATATGCACGTCCCTGATGAACCTTTCGACACTTTTTTAATACAGAAATATGTAATATTTATAGTAACTCTTACCCTGGAAATTTCATTCCAATCGCTAAAACACTTGGAAGAAAACTAGAATAAATCGAAAAAAATGAAGAATTTATCCCCCTGTAGCTACGAAATGAATCGGATCTATGTTGATATAAGAAATAAATCTTATTTTTACGCGAGGAATCTCCCCACGAGATATGGCACATGTCTTTTGAAACACCCTGTATAAGTTTTAATTGTTAACAAGAGAAAGAAAACAACTAAAATTTACAACTTTGTTATCAAGAAACTAAATAAGATCGCAGCGAAATGAAGAATTTTATTGCGTTATACATGAAAATTACATTTCTGTTGCAGACAGTGTTGTTTGGCCAGAGAACGGGTTAAAACATTTTCTCTAGAATTTTCCCGAAATGAACATTCTTCCTTTCATTTCTTTTATCGCTGTAGAGATATGTACAATTTCATTAAAATCCTTCTTTTACGAGTTTTACGATCTTCTACTGGTAAAACATCACATTTTGATGGGGTGCAGTTATGTAGTGTTATACGAGCTCCTTGGCAAATTTAGCTGTAATAAAAAGAAATAAACTAGTCTTCAACTTTATAGCTCTGGGGCTTTCTGCGTCTAGAATTTTTATAATGGTTTTAAATTTATTTTAAGGGATTTTTATATTCATTAAACAGTTGATGAGTAGTATACAGTCTATTTTATAAGTTATGTAAGAGGCACTTTCCTGGAAATGCAGTACATTTCCTGACGATTAATTGGAGTTCCTATTATTAATTTTCTCTTTAATACAGTAACTATTCAATTTATACAGGGTGTTTCAAAAAACCAGATTCCTCACGTAAAAATAAGATTTATTTTTCAAATTAACATAGGTCCGATACTTTGCTTTGTCTGCTTTGTTTTGTAGCTACAAGGTGTTATAAAGTCTTAATAATATTTCGATTTATTATAATTTTTTTCCAAGTTATCTCTTGATATTTTGTCGAATTCGGCTTCCTTGATGAGATAAACGCAATTTCTTTAATCGCAATTAGTAAAATTAAAATAGAGATAAAATTAATAAATTATATTTTTTAACTAATTTATTATTAAATATTATCACTATTAGTTATTATTACTATTAGCCCAACCTACAGCAATTTCAATTAAAAAAATAATGGTATTTAAGATAATTACGAGGATAATTACAAAAAACCTAATTTTAAAATGTTTTAACATCCTGTAACTCTAAAACTATGCATTTCCATACCCATGTTTATAGGAACTTTTTTCATATTTTTTGATGAGGAATCAATGAGTACTTATTTAAAACTTTCGCAAGTTAATGATATTATTTTTTTTAAATGTTGCTATAAGACTTGGATGAAAGCAAATTAATCAAATTGCGTTTATCTCATCAAGGGTCGAAATTGACTAAATATCAAGAGACAACTTTTAATTGGCATCAAACTGCTTACACTATTTCGTTAACAAGAGAAAAAAAAGTCAGTAGCGTACATGCTTTGTTGTACTTTTGTTAGAAAAATATTCTAGTGATAACCCATATGCACGTCCCTGGTGAATATGTCGACACTTTTTTAGCTTTAAAATATGTTGCATTTATAGTAACTTTTACCCCCAAAATTTCATTCGAAACGCTAAAGGTACTTGGAAGAAAATTCAAATATATCGAAAAAATATTAAAACTTTATTGACACGTATTTTATAAATAACTTTTGGTTACATTCATAACAACAATTTTAAGCCAATATAAATTTAACTAGAAAGAAATCAATCGTTATTGAGTCTACTCAATGCTTTACTGTGGGCAATTACCACTAATGCTGTGGTGACCTTTGACAGTAACATCACTTAATGACATAGCATTAGTTATAACTCTGTGCTATGGAGCCAATGAAATCCGGTTTTAAAGCCTTACTAACGTGAAGGTATTATATTCGTTGATGTCTTTCCGTATCTAATTATTTAGTATTTTTTGCATATAAACAGTTTAGAGAATCAACATTTTTCTTTCATATACCGCGTGCGTCTCAAAAGTGGATCATCCCCTATAACTTTTTTATTTTTTCAGATAAAAGAACGAGATTTGGTGTGTTATTTTTTTAGAATGCCCGTCAAAATATATAATTGTTTTGGATTGCAACCGTTGTATGCGATTTGGCGCTGCTATAGCGGTCGCTAAGAACAACCGCAAACAATAACAGAAATAATTTTCTCTTGTCAAAGTCACAATCTTCAAAAATTATAAAATCTTTTAAAATTTAAACCGCTCTCATTGAAAAAATACTTTTTTTTTCAATTTTATTTACTCAAACCCGTGATAATTGTGAAAAAGTGGCATTAAAAACTTAATTAAAAGCTGTGTTGTGAACTGTGAACTGCAAAACCCTCGTGGATCGTGGCATAACGTCGGTTTTTAATGTTTAACGGGTATTTCATACATGTCCTTATATAAAATAAAGTTTCTTGTATGCAACACATTGTATTTTATTTATAAAATTAAAAGAAAATAACAATAAATTTGAATAAATAATATTTAGCGACATAATTCCGGAAAAAGCCGAACCAATCTGAAATTATCAAAAGCTTTGCGTCGCGACCGTTGCAAGAAAAGCGCCAACTAGTATTCACATTGTCCTTATGGGCACTTTCCAATCTAAACTTGTTTCATTTATCCATGCATATCATATGTCAACTTTGCATATTTTTTGCATATGGTTTATTTGAAATACCAAGTATGTGGTACCAAATTACTTGTAAAAAATGCTTTTTCCAAATATGCTAATGAGCCACCCTTGTTCCATTTGAAAAAATTGGGATATGATTAAAAATACGATTTGGGCATCTTTTAACCGGCCAGGACAAGACACGAAACACATTAGACGATCAAATCTATTTTTCTAAGGCTCCTTGATTAAAAATTAGTTTTTTAACACAGCCATGGTACTCTAGATTGAAATTTAAAATACAATTTGTCTTTGAGTTAATATGTCAAAAGTTGACATATGATATGTCATTTGATTCAGAATGTCATTTTCTATCAAATTTTTAAAAACGAAAAGTTGTGATTTTCAGTTTTTGAAGATACAAGATAATTTGATCAATATTAATGATATATTTCTTTTTAATGAACTAGTTCTTACATTTTTTAAGTATGTCTTCTAAAATTATAATAATGTGCTTTTAAAAAAATCGCAAACTAGCAAAACCGGTGCTTAAATGCTTGCTGCCGTAGTTAAAGCAGCTGACGTGTTATTAGTCACCTAAAAAGTCTTATTAGGTTTATTAACAGGGGCGGATACAGGAATTTATTTTAGGGGGGGGGGGGCCACAAATAAAAAGTAATGTAGAATATGCATTTTAGGGTGCCATTTTTAACTCAAAAGCCGAATATTTAACCCAAATTACAGATTTTTTTGGGGGGGGGGGCCATGGGCTCCCCTCTCTATCCGTCACTGTTAATAAAATATAATACACTTTAGACGTTCTGAAGATATCAAAAGATATCACAAATTGCACTTACAAAGATTTTTCAAATAATTATTATAACAAATTTTTTGTGTACTTGCTATTTAAACCCATGTATTTGTTTAAGTCTCTTGTTTACGGTATTTTCCGATGGTGGCAGCACCGGCGGTGAATGCTGAATATACGTAACATGCCAATTCCGCACATATTTAGCACTAATATAGAAAATATATTATGTATATTCTAATATAAGTAATTAACATTAGTTATTTGTTTCAGGATTTACATAAAAGTATTCTACCAATTGCTGTGATGTCAGTTGTTACCTTCACTCTGATTGCCATTCTGATGGCGTCACAATTTCCGGTGGTGTTAGAGTCAGAAGCATGGGCACTTATGTCCTCTTTGACGATCACAACAGCTGCAGCCACTGCCATGCTACTTCTAGGTGAGTATAGTTTATCTGAGTCTCTTAATTTCGGCACTATCTTTGTTGGTGCATTTTTCGGCGTCGTCGGGACTAAGGAGTTAGGAGTCTCACTACTTCCAATTGACTTCGGAAATACTATAAAATTAAATACACTATAGATAAAACAAAATTTGATTGGTAGTCACATCCACCCATACTTGAGATTAAACATCAATATATTTTTTTGGCATAGATCTGGAACTCTTATTCTTATAGTTTAATTTTTAAATCTCTCTATTGTGGTTTTCTTTCGTAAAAGAAGTTCAGTAATGTAGTAGTTGTACAAAATGCACTTTGTGGTAGAGTATTGGGAAACTAATGACGTCAAAGAACTAGATATACAGGGTTATTCTTAACCTATACGCATAAACTTGGGAAATTATTGCTGATGACAAATAATGACTAATAATGAAAAAATAAAATAAAATAAAAAAAAACATAAATAAACATAACATACGTAAAAATTAAAAATAATCATACAGAAAGTTTGGTTTTACCTTATTAAGTAGTTGTTATTAGGTAGTAATTGTTAATTTTGAAGTTTAACTTGATATAATGTCATTTTAACAGAACCTCACCGGTTTTTGTAGATGTATCTGTTTTAAAAAACTAAAGTGTTCTCGAATAGTTGAATTTAAATATTTTAAATAGTTTTTTTTGCTTCCGACGACGGAAAGAGATAAACTTCCCGAAACGTTAAGCATTTTTTTGTTCGTTAGGCAAATTTGTGTATCTGTAAACCTAACTTCTGACAAGTAGTTTCCGTTTGGGATTAACGCAGAAATGTTTACAAAAAATAACTATTTTATTTTGTAGATTTTCTTGCAGTGGCGAAATAGCCATATAGGATTTTTTTGGAGAAATGAAAAAAATGTTAGTAAAATATTTTTAGATTCTGAAATAATTTGAGTTTTTTTTCACAAAAATTTATCACAAAAATTCATCAACTTTATCAGTAAATACACATTCAATTTAATGAAATTTACGTTTTTTGTTTTTATTTCAAATAGTTTGTTATCTCCGTAAATAAAAATATTTTATTAACTTTTTTTTTTCATTATTAGTCACTATTTATCATCAGCAATAATTTCCCAACATTATGCGTATAGGTTAAGAATCACCCTGTACTTGTTGCATAACTATTTACGACTTTAATTAACAAATAAAGGATTAAATCGTCGGTGAAATGTGATAAACTGCTAAACTCCATTATTCCTAATTTTACAAGAGAGCAAAAAAACGGTACAAAAAAATATGTAGACATGTAGGAAGTATTTTCATGCGTTAATATGATAAAGAGATAAGAATTTTATTTGCTGAGAAACAATATAACTCAATATTTCGTGCTACATCATTTTTTTCAGACAGAATAGGGAGATAGCAGATATTCGTCTTGCAGAAATAAGAAATAAAAATATACTTCTGGAGATAGCAACCTTTATTGTTTGAAATTTTAAAAATGGAATCGAATATTACCCAAACAGATTTAGTAATTATTAAATAATCAATTAAATTTAAAAAATATATGATACTCCCAGATATTTATAATATCGTCGGTCTAGAAGCAAAACATACAAGTCCAAAAACGAATAAATTTTTAATGCATTTTTAAAGATCTGAAGTAGCAGCATTTTGAACTTAATGAATATGAAAATAATTTAAAAATTAAACTTATAATTCTTAGAAGATATGGTAGAATTCTTCCATGTTTATCCTAATTTTTATACAACGGTAGTAGACCGGAAAGCTTGGAAAACAGTGCGTGATTTTATTAAATTTTTATTACTTTTCTCCTTATTTTTTATTTTTTATAAAAATTATGTATCATTTACGTAGAAAAACGTGGAAAAAAATAAAACTGATTAGGTATTATGGAAATTCTTGTACAAGTAAGTAATGGTTATTTAAACTATTTATAGCACGCCGATGAATTGCTCGTATATAAAGAATTTAATTTTTCCCCTTACCCTTTAGGGATACCCCGTATTTACAAAACGGATCGACGCAGGGTCGGACTGGCCATATTATATATATAACTATTAGGGGGACCCCAGCCTTCGCGTGCCCCCTTTGTAGTTCATTATTGATTCTTAATAATATTTGCTTTTGCATTGCATTATGGCATTTGCATTGCATTGATTTACCTTGAATTAGGGTAGTTCCCTAATTTCTATACAGGGTGAGTCTTAAATAAGTGCAAATATTTTCAGGGCTGGTAAATCTCGATAAAAGAAACATAATATTTTCTCTTTACCGTTTTTTCAAATAAATCCAAAACAACCGAGTTATTTCATTTTTAAAATTTCCAATTTGTTGCTATAATTTTGAGAATCAGTGGATTTTTTTCTTGTAAATTTAATCTACTACCTATGTTGCCAAATTACAAACAAAGTATGTTTTTAAACTAAAATTAAAAAAAAAATCCAAACTTCTTTTTTAAAATTCCAAATTTTCAAAAAAAATTTCGCCCAAAAACCTTATAATCGTGTTTCTTGGGTCAAAATATACTACCCCTAAAAATATTTGCATTTATTTAAGACTTACTCTGTATATAATAGAGAAAAATTGACCAAAACGTAAGGCGAAAAAATACGCAAAAAAATCCACACGGGCCCCTTCTTACATTGACACCGGGCCCCTTTGGCCTAGTGCGACCCTGGATCGAAGTACTGTCCTAAAGAAACATACGAGTAACAATCCGTGTGTGTTTGCTTTAGCGTGATCGTAACGGAAATTATGGACTTAGCAGCAGTTCGGTGGCCATTTCAGATCACTGGGAGTTAGCAGATATTATTGAGTTAAAATTCCAAATTTTCTTTAATGGGAAAAAATGCATTTGCTTTCTCTACTTATAGAGTATTTTTTCTCTTTCTAATGGTATAGAAAAACTTATTAACGTAAAAATGGAGTTAGCAGGTTATCACCTTTCACTGACGAAATGTATTTTTCTTAATTTTCAGCTGGACGACATGCGCCGTTGCCACTGTTTGCACTCCTCATAGCACTCCATACGATGTTGCCGCTTTCACGTTCGGTAGCTTTGGCGTTAGCCATCGTCGTTACCGTTGCTCATTTGGCAACGTCGATAGCTTATAGACTGCACGAGGACGAATCAAATTTTATTCAGGTAAATTGACATTATATTACCATAGAAACGCGTGTTGATTTTAGGACTTTATATAACATTAGTGTAACTAGCAATTTATCCTGGGGTGGTCCTGAGGGGGCCTGGGGTTGAGACCGGGGGCTAGGGCTTTTGTTTTTTTAAAAATGAAAAATAATTTTAAAAAACACATTTTTTAATAAAACGTTTACATGAATTTCTCTATAAATAAATTTCATAGACTTGGTTATCAAACTGTGTTCCCGTTGATTACTTAAATACCTACAAATTTTCTAAAAAAGTAAAAATTAACACATTTCTTGAACATAACAAAATAATATTAACTAAACAAAACTAGAAAACGTCATTTTTACTGCATCACAAGCAAATAAAAATTAATACGTAGCCAAGGGTCATAATTTAGGAATTCTCTGGGGGGTGCCCAGCAGTACCTAGGGGGGGCGGCACTATCCTAGCAAGAACTTGCCTTAATCAGTTGTATCCATAGAGAAGGCCTATTATTTAGCTTATAAAACAATTAATTTTTGATTTCTAACCACAATTTCTCAGCCGGAAGGTAATGAAAGGCCAAAATGACATTTCTCGCAAATTTTGAAGCATAATTAGTGGAAAAGTTAAGAGTTTGATAACTTTCCCTACTAATTGAAAATGTCTAACACTAATTTTGATGTTCTGAATGCTTACATTGAAATTAAAGGAACAAACTTCTACGCTAATTGAAGCCACTAATTGCGAGGTTCTGAATGAAGCTTAATCCAGAATAATGGCGTCATATAATTATTCTGAATTATGACGACTCTCTGCAACATTCTGGGTTTGAATGTTGCTAAATTTAACGGAAAAATATGTTTCTTCGATGTGTATTTTTTTTCAATTCATAAAAAATATCAGCCAAATAAAACCCATATTGCGTACCTTTATTTTTGTAACAATTTTCTTTTCTTTCGAAAAAATATTGTTTCATATGGGGATCTTGTCTGATCCTTTTTACCAAATATTACGAGATATTTCCAAAAATAATGTTATATTCCTTATATATGCAACATATTGAAGCCCTAGCCCTTAATAGCATGGTTAATATTTAATTTGGGCATCTTAAAGATGATCCCAGAAGATGGTATAAAATATTCACGTTGGATATCAGAAGAGCTATGGATAAAAATATGAGAACCCACTTTTACAAATGTTTACAACTAACATAGATTCTTTTATTTCATAAATATACCATACGATCGAAAAGAAAACGGCGTCAAAGACTGTTGGGAATGACAATCGACGAAAATTTCGGCGAGGTTAATCTCTAGACGTCGCGTCATTTACACTCACTATAAAAAAAATGATAGAACGTTTCTAGACACAAGAATCCACAAAAAAATTCAGTGCGCACTATGTGCGCATAATTGATGTGAAACTTCTTGCTAACAGCTACCGTAGAAAAAAAACGGCGTCCAGTTGGCTTGGATGACATTTCCCATATAATTTTACATATAAAATGACAGCGATCTTCATTTCATAGCCATCGTTGACGCCGTTTTTATTCGATCATACGGTATTAAATTGAAGGATTTTAAGGACATGTTTGAAAAAGTGTTGAAAAAGTAATAAATTAAAAAATATTTTGTTGCATGTAAAAAATAGTTTTTTGCCTGTAACAAATATATTTTTAAGTGTAAAAAATAGTTTTATACGCTTAAAATAAAAAATTAATAAACACTTTGATTCCCTTTCACAAAATTTGTATTAAACTATCAATATTTTTGATCAACACATGGACTGCTCACAAATACACGCCACTACGTATTTCTAAGCCGTAGGCTGTCCTTACCACTTTTCGTCTCGCTAGCTTGTGTGTCACGCCCTTGAATTTTTACTCTTAGCGCGCGTAAAGAAGTTTAATTTAAAAAAAAAATTCCAATAAATAATTTTTTCTCGAATTTTAAACTATACCATTTCTAAATCATTTTTACTCAGTATAAAAGTAAATTACAACTTTATCATTACTTTGTTTTGGGACAGCCTCTATACAAGAAAATACTTATAGGATATGCGCTTTTATAAACTATACAACATATAGATAAATGTTTTTTAATTTCCATAATATTAGACTTCGTCGTGCTAATGGTCCCCCACCCTGAATATACAAATTTTCAGTAATGTTCCACCGACTATAGTCTGTCCAACGAGAAGATCCTTGACAGTTATAGATGTATCTGTCATTTTAATTTCAAAGTAGTTTATTTTATTTTACAAAGAAATAAGTTGGTACAACTGGAACGCATAGCAGGAAATTAATATATGTATTTAAAATTTGACTGACAAGTAACTTCAAAATATTGTAAAAAATACTGTATACAACTGAAAAAATGTAATCGAGTTATTTTATTTAATAAAAAACGGTATGTGTTAATACAAAACAAACAAAAACAAGACACCACATACCAAAAAATATAAAAAAAGAACTATTTCTTACTGTCAAGCTTTATGAAACTTCCTGCATTTATGATTATATTTATCAATATAATTTATGTACAAATACGAATTAGCAGGAATATATAAAGGAATATATAGGATAATATAGCAGGAATAAATAAAAGAACATAAATAAAACAAACTATTTTATTAATAATAACACTTACCAAATTTTATACCTCACAGGTTGATTAATTAAGTTTAATCTTAATTTTTTTAAACCCGTACCTTTTGACATTATTTTTCTGCAGTACTAAAATCCATTATTTACCTATCGTGTGATGTTGATATTTTACAGCTACTCCAGTTTTTAGTATGTGTTTAGTATAGTCCTACCATATTCAAGATGAACTTATCTACGACGAGATGGTATACGAACTTTATTGATAGTAACTTTATTGGTGTATCTGTATAAGACTTCCTGCCTGGGCAGCGAGTATTAACCATAAACTGTGCTGTGGATTCTACAGTTAATTTTCACTCGATTTTTTCTCCACTTGACTTCAAAATACACAAAACACACGTAATAACACGAATCAAAATACATCATCTTCCAAAACGCAGGGTATTTGACAAAAGTTGTCACAAAATTATAACCTATAATTTGGCAAGACTTTGACAAACGTCAAAAATCTAAAGGCGAGTTCATACGCATCGGCGTCTGTTTGTCGTTCATCGTTCCGTCAAACCAATAAAATTGAAAGACGATCTGTCATTTTTGAAATAAACCAATAAAACTGGTTAAAAACAACAAGTGACGAAGCATGACGAATTTATATTTAAACCCATCCATAGTTAACTTAAAAATTATTAGAAACTTTTTTTAATAAAATAAATAGATTGGTATGGGACGTCATCTGCTTTTCTTCTGTCATGGTCTGTCGAAATCTTACCTGAGAAAAAAAAACAGAGTATACAAAGATATGGACAATATTTTTGTATTTTTATAATTTCCAATAGAAACAAAATTGTAAAACAAAAAATTCTCTTTAAAATATTATTTGTTTTTTCATTTAGAAACATATTTGTTTTATTATTATAAATTATTATTTTATATATGAGCTGTAAATACGCTACCCTAACCTGTCATCGTCACTTAGGATTTCGGCAATTAAAATAAAGCTAATTTAAAACGAAAATGCCATTTCAAAGCCGATGTAATTATAAAGTCTCATTTGATTATGCGATATTCCATGCGTGATATATGTGTTGGTGACTTTGAATTAACAACAATAATTATAACAGTTCAAAAGCTTTGAAATTTTCTGTAAACTGAAATGGTTTATAATCTTGTATTTCAAATAAAATACTAGAAGTTTTAAAATTAGTTTATTTATTTCTAGTTGATTCCTGAAATGGTTATACTACTAACTGCGAGCTGTACGGGTCTGTACTACAGGCATCTAACTGAAGAAGCACATAGAAGAACCTTTGTAGGTACCAGGACGTGCATAGAGTCTCGAGTTAAGTTAGAATGTGAGAAGGGTCAACAGGAACAGTTGTTACTTAGTGTTATACCAGCTTATATTGCGGCAGAAGTAAGTATTTTTTTTTCATAGCAACTGTTAAAATTGCCTTATATCTATCAAAAATAGTAGATAAAACAGTACTTTAACCGCAAGGGTAGATTAAATGATACTTTAACAGCGAGAATACGTTAAAAACTTTATTTCTTCTCGCACGTTTTTTAATTGTTTCCATTTTTGAAAATTTTTGTATTCCTTTTCATAAGTTATTCGGGATTTAAATGGAAGTAGTTTGGATATGGCGTTTGTCGCTTCAGCCTGAATATCTGTTGGCAATTTACTTATTTTGTTTTGAGCCATTTCTGGCTCCAATTCAATCAGCAATCGATGGTACAAAGAAAACAAGGTATGATATTGCGCAGGTTGGTCGCTACGTCACAGGTGATAACAGGCGCTATTGGTCAGCATGCTCCGTGCGCCAATTCAAATCGCTGAGATATTGTAATGAACCTGTTTTTTTGTTTATTGAAACGTCATTGAACTATCGCTAAGCAAGTTACTTTGGAGCAGTGGGTGAAGAGTCAGGATAGGAAGCGAGAGACCGGAGTTCGAATCTCGGCCGGGTCATAACTTTTTTATTTAATTTTTTAAACACTGTTGTATACTATAGTTTATTTTTGTAGTATAAAAAAAGAACTATTTATTCTGTTATTTTTTAATCTCCGGTATTAATATAAATTGATTGTTGGTACAATACCTCATTTAATATAAAATAATATTCTACTTTTTGAAATGTATCGGGCCCTAATTGTATCTAAAAGTAATATATTTTTACAGTGATATACCATATTGTAAATTATTTAATATTTCAGTCACTTAAAAAGTTAATTTGTATTGAATAATTGCCTACCATTAAAGGAAATTTGAGCTATAATCCTTCATGGGCATATTCTGGGTATGCAAGTACTTCCTCTAAATTGTGGGTTTCGTTCAACCGATTTATTCTCAAAACCTGAAACATCTACATATAAAAAGAAGCACAGGTCACTAATTATAATAAACTTCACCCTTGGAGTTACTTCCACTAATTATAATAAATTTCACCCTTGGAATTACTTCTATTACAATTACTATACATTCATCTGCATTGGCTATCTGCAAAAAAACTACTTTTCGATGGGAAACAATCAACTTCCCAACATTTTTTAAATGATGTAACAATTCCTCTTGTGGTTACTTTTCCATAGATATCCTCATCTCTGTCCCCATAAACATCGCAAACTAAAAACCTAATAAACAATTTTATACCGAATATCGAAATAAATTTAGTATTCTTACCTATTATCATCCAAATCCATGTTAATAGATAATTCATATTTTCGATTTTTGTCTTTTATTTTTAAATATATTTTTGGAACTGCTGGTTTTAGTAATTATTAAATTAAACGAACTAAAAAGTCAGGAAAAATAAGCAATTCTTAACCACAGCCCTAAAAAATACAAAAAATGCAGATCTCGTGTCAACTTTCTTTATTTTTTATTTATTCATTATTTTCCTAGTGACGTCACAGGTGGTATGCGCGAACTGAACGAAATTGGAGCCGCTATTGATCATACCTTGTATTCTTTGTACCATGTCAGCAATCGACACGAAAGAGAGTTAAAAAATATTGACTCAAAACTGACAACTAAAGTCACAGCCACACATCTTTATTTATTTGCCAAATTACATAGAAACCAACGCCAACCCAGCACAATATTTTTTCTACTCATAATAAATTCCTTGAAATAATAATTTCTGAATATTTTTTAAAACGTAACTCGCTATGGAAAAAAATATTGTTTTATACACGACGATAAAATTGATTTATCGTTTCCCGAAATTAATTCATTCGCGATTTCATCGCTCGTGAATTAATCTTTTCGGTCGACAATAAAATACCATTTTATCGTCTTGCATAAAAAATAACTATAAGATGCTAAAGATTAAAAGTAAATCCAAATGATTTGATTTTTTATCAATTTACCAAATGTCATTTATTTGTAGATTAAAGACATAGATTAAAGATTTTCAAAAACTGACAAATTTTTATTTACTTTTGGAAAACGTCCTTGCTTGAATTAATATTTAGGTAATGTTTGTTTAGTGTTCGCATTAAAGAGTTATTTGCTGTTACAGGTTAAAAGAAGTATTATGTTAAAAATGGCGGATGCTTGTTCGGAGCACAAGACCCAAACCTTTCACGAAATGTACGTCCAGCGGCACAACAATGTCTCTATTTTGTACGCAGATATTGTAAATTTTACACCGTTGAGTGAACAGCTATCTGCTAGTGACTTGGTGAAAACATTAAACGAACTTTTTGGAAGATTCGATCAAATAGCCCAGGTAAGTTTAGTTTCTAAATGCATTTTATTTAGATAAAGATACCTAGGTATAAAATTACATTTATTTCATCAGTTTTTTGTTCATTTACTTTCTGGACTTGGATTACACATAAAATTTTATTTTAGTTGGTTGTATTTCAATTTTAATAAGATTTTAAAAAAATAATATGAATTTTTTAGTTCTACATTATTTAACTATTGTCCAAATTGAACAGGAGATATACCGGGTGCATTACAATCATTGAATCATAAAAATATAACATATTTACAACAATGTTAATATGTTGTATTTTTCATAATTGCATAACCTATGAGACGCATATTTTTAAATAAGAATTTTAAAAAATGCATCTCATAGCTTATGCAATTATGCAACGCGCGAATGAAAGTTTTAACTTTTGTCTAAAACCGGTATTAAAGTGCACTGGGCATAGCGTCTATAATTTTGTTTACTCCATTAAACTTGGTAATTGCGTTGGGTAATGGAAGAGCAAATTTTAGTTGTAACATTTTAGCGGTATATTTTTTTTCTTTTGAGGGGGTGGTAAAAAAACCTTTTATAGGCGAGTGTTGTTCGTTCCCATCACCATCTCGAGAGAGACGATCATAGAGACGAACTCCAAACAGTGTCTTACCCACTAAAAAAGTCCACCTCCGAGGAGTCAGCTCCTCCTCTCCGAACCGCCGCATGGCGTTACTTCGGGTTTGTACGTGATCTTGGGGTTTATATCTTATCTATGTTATTTTTTATCTATATTCTATTCTATTTATTTTTAGGATACTTCCACATTTCTTGCCTTTTCATATTTTCCTTTCTCTATTATTATTTCTTTCATAAATGCCCCTACCTTTCCCCATATTTCCCTAGTTTTAGTCATTTTCATAATCAAGGTGTCCGAAGTTAACATTCCTACATCCGACAATAAGGTAGACCTTCCGTTTTCCCATCTCGGACAACAGAACAACGTGTGCGCGGCATCGTCGATTTCGTCGCAGTACATGCAGTTGCCATTTGGTATTTTCTTTATTCTGTGCAAGAAGTCCATGAAGACTCCATGCCCGGAAAGAAACTGCGTAATGTAATAGTCCACGTCTCCTTGTTTCCTACTTGTCCAGTCCTCCACGTTGTGTATTAACTTTCTAGTCCACCTTCCCTTGTCGGATGTATCCCACTCCTCTTGCCATTTTTGATGGGTACCTCGTCGTTGGTGGTTTTTCACCTCATCGTTAATCTCTGCTTTGACATATAACTCTCGCTTTTCCTCAGCTCAATCAATCCTAATTTATGTCATATACTAACATACCGAATTTCGTATTTTTATCTGAAAAAATAAAAAAGTTATAGGGGGTGAGCCACTTTTGAGACGTACCCGGAATTGTATGAAATTATTGAAGAATCATTGAATCATAAAAATATAACATATTAACAACAATGTTAGTATGTTGTATTTTTCATAATTGCATAACCTATGAGACGCATATTTTTAAATAAGAATTTTAAAAAATGCATCTCATAGCTTATGCAATTATGCAACGCGCGAATGAAAGTTTTAACTTTTGTCTAAAACCGGTATTAAAGTGCACTGGGCATAGCGTCTATAATTTTGTTTACTCCATTAAACTTGGTAATTGCGTTGGGTAATGGAAGGGCAAATTTTAGTGGTAACATTTTAGCGGTTATAGTAAACATTTACATATTTTATTAGTCATTTCTTGATTTTACACGATTTTGAAAGTATATTTCGTAATTCTAAGAAATTGAACCTATTAGTAAGAGAGCCGGGTGCAAAATCATGCAAGAGTTTTTTTAAGGGTCATATTTTCAAAATCGATTGTATTTTAGTGTTAAAAATCAAAGGTACAGTCAGCAGTTTCAGTTCTGGGACACCTTGCGCTGAGAAGCGCGCAAGGTGTCCCAGGTGTTTTCTGAAGGCTGAAAATTTGTAGATGACAGTCGAATGCAATGTAAAACAAAAATATAACAGTCAGACAGAGCAGTATGTGGACACAAAGCGTCTGGGCTACCTCAAACGCGTTGTCAAAAAAATGTTGTGACTCAAACTGATTTCTGAATGCTGAAACTTTGCAAGGTAATAGTGAAAACAATATATTTATTAATAAAAACAGTCAGACTCGTCGATAATAGAACACCGTCAGTCTGCAGCTGATCGGAGTGAGAACAGTAACAGCGCGCGTATAGACAGGTCTTTGAATAAGAAGACTAAGGAAGGAGCATATCAAAAATCTTAGGTACACCGCGATGGGCCTCAAATATGGCCGACTTAAATTCCGGTTTATCAGTGTCGTTCTAATTTTATTTAAAAAATGTAAAACTATGATGTAGGGTAGACGTGGGGTAGACTCAATAATTTGTTGTTTTATTTTACGTTGTGAATAAATGTTACAGTAATTATTAAAATTGTTATAAAAATATATAATTCTAATAAAAATAGATAAGTTATAATAAGTATTTATTAACACAAACATCCGATACGCTACTGAAGCAGGTAAGTCAAATTAACGTATCTAAATTCTTTGACATCTAATCTTTGACAAGTAATAAATAAAAGCTAAAATGCAAGAAAAATATATAATTTAGTTAATTTAAGTGAATTTCATAAATGATCGGTTTACTACACGTATGTATATTATATAGTCACTTACTAGCGAAAAGTTGTTCTATTATATCACTCAATTTTTGCCGAGATCTACCGCACGCTACACAACCAACTATTTTAGAGTCTTTTTCGATAAATCGCGATAGTGTCACTGTTAATTTAAGTTCTGCCACAATTTCAATCTAGATTTACTACCTTTATACAACTATCAGTAGTAGAATAAATAATAAATAACATAAAATAAGCTTCGTAAAGACTGACAAATCCACAAAATTTCAAATCAAATTCAAATGTGTCAAATAAATCGTCAAACAGAACTGTCAAGGATCCCCACCATTAGAGAGCTTTTATGGTGGCTTTTCCGCCCACCATGCATGAATACATGGATAGCATTATGCTCCTTCCTTAGTCTTCTTATTCAAAGAGGCAGGTCTACTCAATATGCAGGGTGGTCCGAACTGTATTCCGGAAACTTCGGCAGCATATTCTATAATCTATATATTATAGATAAAAATAAGTAAAAAAGTTCGCATAAATGTATGTCCTAAAATGCTTAGTTTTGGAGAACTCCTACACCCTGTAGAGTTTCATTTTTATTTCTTTTTTTTCCAAAAAATTTTTGAAGTAACGTCAATATTTGGATGAAAATTGGTGTCTGGGAGTTTTTTGACATGAGAAATTTGATTTAGTTGTCCATATGACTCCTACTTGTAGAGGGCGCCACCTAATAATTTAACTGGTTTGAAGAGTAATAACTTTTCGTCGGTACCTGCATAAAACTGCTGAGTAAAAAAATATACATTTACAACGTTTTTTACGTAAGAAAAGCCTCTTGGTAAAAATCGCAACGTGTAATGGTTCTCGAGATATTTGGAATCGAAATTAACAATACCTGTCATCATTGACATAAATTAAACATGTTGACTAAATAGTTATTAGACTGAAATCATAGATTTGAAATGATTTTGTGTCAAAAGTTCAACAGAAACTGTTTTATCATAATTTTTTTGATATGATAAATTTAAAAAAATAAAAAGTTCACGAATTTATAATTTCAGTCAAATAACTATCTACTCAACATGTTTATTTTTTGTCAATAATGACATGTATTAACTACTTTCATTCTAAATATCTTGAGAACAGTTGTAGCAATTTTTACCAAGAGACATTTTTTACGTAAAAAATCACGAAAGTGTATATTTTTTCACTTAGTAATTTTATACAGGTATGAACAGTTATTACCCTTCAAAACAGTTAAAATACATATAGGTGGCGCCCCCTACAAATAGGAGTCATATTGACATCAAAATCAAATTTCTCATGTCAAAAAACTCTTAGACCCCAATTTTCATCCAAATGTTGACGTTACTTCTAGTTCTAGTTTTCAAGTTAACGTCTCCATTTTGCTGCCAGGTCTAATCTGGACGGCTCCTACTTTGTTTACGCGGAATCCGAACCGCGGTCCTCAGCCATATCATGGTAAATGGCCTACCGACTGGCAAGTGTTTAAATCGACTTTTACTCGAGATATCATCCGATCTCATCCGGCCTCGAACCGGCGTGAATGAGCAGTGTGTGTTGACGTTACTTCAGAAATTATTTGGAAAAAATTGAAATAAAAAAGAAACTTCTAAACCCTGTATCTCCGAAACTAAGCAATTTAGAACATACATTTATACGAACTTTTTTTACTTATTTGTATCTGCAGAATATGCTACCGAAGTTTTCGGAATACAGTTCGGACCACCCTGTGTATCGATATTCATCAATAATTCACAGAAAACAAAATATTTTAATTTTATTTGGATTTGTGACTATCTATTATTGATATTTAAACATAAATATTATAAGAAAAATATATTTTAAAACATGTAGTTTATAAATGTCGGAGTAAAACGATCTCAAATAAAAAAGGCACATATTTTTTTGAATAAAGAAAAAATCATTTTTTATAAAAAATAATATTTTATAAAAGTTTTTACATTAATTTATTTACATTAATTATATAAACCAAACCATAATTCAAAAACGGTTGAATGAAATATAGACAAACTATATATTTGAAGTCAGAAGAAAAAAGTCGTTAAAAAATAGAAAATATACAGTGTGTTTCAACTTTCTGATCGTATTTTGATTATTTTTATTTCACTTTCTGGAGTTTCAGGTAAAACATTAAGTCCTACATTTACAACATTAAGTCCTACAAACTTTATACTATCTCTACCTAAGCTTCCAGGTATCGCACTACGTATTTCTGTACATAAAAATAAAGAATGTATTCCAATAACTTTACAGTATAAAGGAAGTTTATTGTCGACTTGGTAAATTGTACGATATTGTTTAAAATGTATAATTATAAACTGTATGATCAGAAATTTTATTC